ATAAATATCGATAAATATCGATAAATATCGATAAATATCGATAAATATCGATATATCGATAAATATCGATATATCGATAAATATCGATATATCGATAAATATCGATAAATATCGATATATTGATAAATATCGAATTATCGATAAATATCGATAAATATCGATATATCGATAAATATCGAATTATCGATAAATATCGATAAATATCGATAAATATCGATATCTATCGATAAATATCGATATCTATCGATATATATCGATATATCGATGTATCGATATACAGTGTGTCCAAGATAAGGTTGCTCAGTAATGTCTTAGAAGCAACTGTGAGAAGAGGATATCTTTATTTAGAGAATAATGGTCATCATTTTGAACAATTGTTATGAATGTTTCTGTTGGTGTTGCCAAAATTAAGTTATTAAAGTAATTCGTGTAAGAATTCATAATTAATTTGAAGCGCTGCATTGAATAATATTGTTACGTTATTCGGGTGCAGAAGCGAACACGACACTATTTATTTTCGAACTGATTTATTTGAACTAAAGAAACACTAATTTATATCGAACTTATAACTACTATTTATGTAAAACGATTTATAACACGCGGTATATAACTGTCTCTCTGACACTCGCTGTTTGGTGTATGTAGGAATCATTGAGAGGTTGGAGAACAATCTGGGATGCGTGATACAGGATGATCGTTGTACTCCTGCCTTCCTGCTGATGTTTCTAAAGCGCCTCCAAGGGAAATATCTTTACAATATGGTGAAATATTTTTTTTCCACTTTTCGGTATTGAATAACTAGGGAAAAAATATCGATATATCGATATATCGATATATCGAATAACGATATTTAAGTTTTTGAATATCGATATACAGGGTGTCCCTAGACCAGTGGAACAGTTGAATATCTCCTGAACCAATAGGAATTTTCAAAATATTATAATTTCACATCATATCGCATTATGAGGGCTAACTTCAGGAATGACTATATTTTATACGAGGGGCGCAAGAAAGGCTCACAAAATCGAACATCAATTTTTTCAAATGGAACACCCTGTATTTCATTGCATTTTTATATTCTTCTTGATGAGCTGAGTTCAACGACCTAGCACACTTGGGGTCTAGCGGGAATGATTTCCGAGATATAGGGTGTGGAAAATCGAGATTCTTCATTTCTGGGAATTTTTTGTGTCGAAACTATTCATTATTGGTCAAAACGGAATACATGTCCAGATATTAACTTTTGATTTACTATTTACTCGTATTTAATTGAAACAAATACAGGGTGGTGTAGAATTTTCAGTTTCAGTCAGAATTCTACACCACCCTGTATTTGTTTCAATTAAATACGAGTAAATAGTTAATCGAAAGTTGAGATCTAGACATGTAATCCGTTTTGACCAATAATGAATAGTTTCGACACAAAAAATTCCCCAAAAATGAAAAATCTCGATTTTCCACACCCAATATCTCGGAAATCATTCCCGCTAGACCCCAAGTGTGCTAGGTCGTTGAATTCAGTTCATCAAGGAGAATATGAAAATGCAATGAAATACAGGGTGTTTTATTTGAAAAAATTGATGTTCGATTTTGTGAGCGTTTCTTGCGCCCCTCGTATAAAATATAGTCATTCCTGAAGTTAGCACTCATAATGCGATATGATGTGGAATCATAATATTTTGAAAATTCCTATTGGTTCAGGAGATATTCAACTGTCCCACTGGTCTAGGGACACACTGTATATCGATATATCGATATATCGATATATCGATAAATATCGATAAATATCGATATATCGATAAATATCGATAAATATCGATATATCGAACTTATCGATAAATTTCAACTTATCGATAACCGATAACTGAAATCCAATATCGCGCAGCCCTAGTCTTGGGAGCCTTTGAACCTTACAGAAGCTCCCCTTTTTTGAAGTGTTACAATTTTAATTAGTCCTACGCAACGAATTCTATTAGGTGAACCACGAACTGAACTGCTGATCATTCGAAGCGCATCAAGCACATTTTTGCTCTAAATTCAACATTGAATATTTTTGCGAAAATTCCACTTCGAATGCAATTATCTTTATTCTGAAGATTGAACAATTGGGTATATGACAGATAGACCGCTGATGGAGATTCATTGTAACCTCTGGGTATACAGGGTGACAAACAAACTTCTGCAAAATATTGAAAAATTCTTCATACTCCCAATTTGATGGAAAATTTCTGAGATTCTTTTCAAGCATATTTTCATAATGCTCGAGCATATTTCTTGAAGTGGTTTCGCAATTTTTCTCTTATCTTCCCCCCATATTTTCGAGAAAAAGATTTTTTTTTTTTCGAAAAATGTGATAATTTGTACTACTGTACTACTGTACTTATTTGTAGCTCAAATATCACAGTTTTTCTCTTGGATGAGTAATTATAACTTATATTGTATGAAATCTTATATTGTTAATATGCAGAGTGTTTAGCAACAATATTTGATAGATATCACAGGAAGACCAAGCACATCACATTGATCAACTTAGCCATACTTGATTTCGGAAGGCGAGACGGTGTACTAAACCAGTGAAAAAATCAAGAGTACTCATTTTGGATATAAAATCACTCAATAATGGGCATATACCCAGGCAACCATGCAGATGACGTTCCAGTGACGTCTTTTTTACGTCACTTGAATGACCAAGGTGACGTCAGTAGCTGACGTCGCATGACGTGATAATGACGTAATAAGTCATAGCCCAATGACGTCATATTACTCACGTCGTATTGACGTCATTCACTCACCAAAAAGTGACGTCCGACTGACGTCATAATGACGTCAAAATGACAATTAAATTTGTCGATGATACATGAGGAAGATTCCTTCAACATGGTGTGATAAACACCACTAGCCTCTGATGACATTATATAAAATTGCTCATGCATTGTTGAGTCTGCTTGGTGGGTCCCTCCTGTGTCATGTTCATTCAATCGCCTATTCAGCAGCGCTATCCTTCAGTACGCATCTCCATCAGAATGCAATGAGTTACTCGTATTTGTATCAAAAATTATGTAGTTTATGTCGGCGAGATGTAAGCAAAGGAAAGGATGTTGGCGAATTTTGCTTCACTTTGTCGAATAATGTATGTATATTGATTCATTCTTTGTCACCCAACAAGAATCTAAATAGCAAATTATTGAAATATTTCCTGAATGACGAAGCTCACCAAATTGGTACGTCAAACCGACGTGATTTTTATACGTCATAGATACGTCACTGCAACGTCATAAGAGTAACGGTTTCAATATAGGTTTACCTAAACTGAAATGCTTATAACTAGGCATCTTAACCTAAACAATAATTATTTTCAAGTAAAACTTGATGATCAACGATCTGGTATCAAGCCCATTGAAGCTGGTGTTCCTCAGGGTGCAGTTTTATCTCCGCTGTTGTACAGTTTATATACTAGCGATTTGCCAAGACCAGTGATGTGCAAGATGTCGCTTTTTGCTGATGATACGGCAGTTCTTGCATATTCGACAAATTTCGAGCAAGCAGCTATGAACCTCCAAAGCGCACTGAATTCTCTTCAGGAGTACTTCCTAAGATGGAAGATCAAATTGAATCCTACAAAAACACAATTGGTCGCACTTGGAAGGGAGCGGAGGCCTCCCAGAACCAGAATAGTCCTGGATGGTCATGAGTTAGAGTGGTCTTCACAAGTTAAATACTTAGGTGTGTGCATTGACAAAAAGCTCACCTGGGCCCAGCACATTGAACAGCAAGTTTCTAAAGCTAAACGAGCCATTGGAGCCCTGTATCCATTTCTAAACAGGCGAAGTAAATTGGGTTTGAGACAAAAATTGAATATTTATATCATGGCTATCAGGCCAATTTTACTGTATGCCTCAGTAGTCTGATGCCACACAGCTAAATCTCATATCACCAGATTACAAACATTACAAAACAAAGTCGAGAGAATGGTGACAGGATCTCTTTGGTATCTTCGGAATAACCAGATCGCCAGGGATCTGAAACTTCCTTCAATCGTGTCAGTCATTAAAGAACGAAACATCAAGACTTTCGAAAAAGCTGAGGTTCATGAGAATCAGCTTCTTCGAAATGCAGTTGATTATGACCCAGGTGATCAATCAAAGTTCAAAAGACCGAGATTGTCCATAAACTAGAGAAAATATCGACATTATGACCAAATTTACTATTCTCAAGTTTTTGATATTTATTTTTTCCGTTCGATCTCTTTCAATTCTTAGAATGAATGAAACTTATTTGGGGCAGAAGGGCTGTTCGCATCAAACTTCAATACCGTTTTTATTTTGTTCCATAATAGATATCAGGATAAGAGGGACTCTTCCCTGGTCTGAATAAAATAAAAGAAAGATCCAATAATAATAATAGCTTGTTGGTTTCCGAGATATACAGTGTGTCAAAGTTTTTTAGAGAAAAGTTGTCTCCTACTTCTCGGATATATTAATAACTCCAATAAAATTTGTATGTTGATTTGCTTTCATGAGTTATTTTTCTGCTTAGAGAAGGTCTGGGAAAATTGGACGTCGACAGGACGTCCCTGCAACGTCATGAAACTGACGTCTTCTTCTACCCATCTAAGTGACGTTCACTCGACTTCGGAAGGATGACGTGATTATCACGTCCTAAAAAGTACGTCATAGTGACGTCATGAATTGGTGTGTGACGTCTCTGACGAAAAATCACCAATTAGGGACGTCACAGTGACGTGATCATTCGTCATCTGGTTGCCTGGGTACACCCTCAATATAAGTTCTTGACACTCAAAAATGGGTTGAAACTCTCTCAAGAAACCGGGAAACTCAAATATATTCAAATCTAAACAGGGATCATTCATTCAATTATGAATCCTTGTATTCAGTCATTGAATTACCATTTCACTCAGTCAAGTAGAGTGATTTTCAACTCAATCGGGCGTGAACATTATTGTGTGGAGTTTGAGTAACATTTCACACTTTTTTTTTCAGTGTGTGCTCGTTTGTTGCAGATGAGAGGAGGATGACAATTTAGCAGCCGCCATGTCCTTATTGTACTCCAGCGAATCCCCGAGTTCTTCTTCTCTATGCCTCAACGATTCCACCACCGAATGCCTGCCTTGCGTCATCAGCAACATAACCTCATTCCCGGCCTCCTTCTACGGCACGATGCCGGTCTCCGAGGACCCCCGGATCGAGGTAATTATACAGGGTGATTCATTAATGTAAAAACTTCACAAACGATAAGATTTTCACAAAATTCTTAAACACACAACATGTTTCGCTAACACAGTAGCTTCGTCAGGTGATATACTGGTACAATGAACTAAACCAACGTTGGCTTGCTTAATAACTTTTATAAAAGCGAAACATGTTGTGTGTTTAAGAATATTGTGGAAATCTTATCGTTTGTGAAGTTTTTACATTTGCCATGGATTATTTAATTATTGTACGATTTTGGTGAAATTTGAACCAAATCGTGAGCTTATGTTTCGAAATTTCAACCGAGTGGACTAATTTTCAATTATTTCTTAAATAGATCATCACTCAAATACCTTTCAATTCCATATATTTTTACATTCTTTCGGTGGATTTTTTTGTGCTAAAATCATCAATAATGACGAGTTAATTTTCAAGTGGCTAGAAATGTATCGTGAGTAAAAACTAATGTCATGATTTTGTAAGTAGGGGCCTGGTAGGGGGAGTCCATAGCACAGTTGCCATATGTTGAAATACGATTGAGAACTTCAGAAATATAAGTAATTCAAAAATTCATGAATTCTCAATTAGGTATTGGTGATATTCTTATTAGCAATGAAAAATCAATTTACTCTAAATTTGCCCTCATGCGTTGTTGCTTATAATGAATTTGTGTAACTAACAAATATACATTCCCTAACAACACAGGGATGTCCTAGGTACGTCCATTTTTTGTCCCGCGGTACAAGTACATGATTTTGACATCCAAGGGATATCCTGCAGTGATTGTCCAGTGGACATCCCGCCCAGTACATCCCTAGGTTATCCTATTAGTGTCCCTGGTATATCTGATATCCATTCACATATTGAGTCGAATTTCTTCGAAAATGAATTTCTTCCGGAAAATAATTGTAATGAAAATAAAGATTATAGTCTCAAAACTTCTCAAGAAATGACCATTTTTCGCAAAAGGAAATCGTAAATGCATAACGATAATTATTATATCCGAATCCTAACAAAGTTTTATTCATTCAGGTTTATGTAGTTTAGTCCTGTTTATACATCTGTTCAATACATAAATCTTCAGGAGGTATATGAGCCAATGGAGTAAGGTGCGTGCCTGATAAGCTGCAGGTCCCGGGTTCAATCCCTACTCGACCTACATTCGTCTTCTTTTGTCGAAGGGGTGTCCCTGGGATATCCTTGGGACGTTCTAGCTATATCCCTTCTTCGTACTCGGTACATCCCAGGGACGTACCAAAAGGGACATCCCATGGATGTTCTTCTTGTCTGCAAGCTGATGTCCCTGGGACGTCCCTAGTATGTACTTTGTCTCAAAAAGGATATCCCTGCGATGTCTTAGTTTGAAATAAGGGACGTCCCTGGGAAGTCCCTAGGATGCACTCGTGTTGTTAGGGTCTATCAGCACTATCATTCACGACATGACTTTTATGGACACACTATTTTATTTTTATTTTCTATTCGAGGTGCTGAGGAGGTACTCCTACGGGTTCGCTCTGCCCTCTATCTGTCTTCTGGGGATCATCGGCAACGTTTTCAACTTGGTGGTACTGACTAGGAGGAACATGAGAGGCACAGCGTACATTTACATGAGGGGTGAGTTTGGTGGTTGTACTTTTCGATTTGATACGGTCCTGGCCTTGAAATTTTAGCTTTTGTCAGTTCACTGTGTATGTTCAGTCGAGCTGTCTGAAGCGTTGAACGCAGCGTTGGGGATGCTATTATATACAATTGTACTAAATCTATTACTATTACACCTTATTGCTAATACAACAGATACAACCTCCATAATCTAGTACGTTCTTTTTATGTGCTCATTATACTTACTCATCACCTTTTATTTCACATTTTTATTAACGACCAAGTTATTCATTTCGTTCCATTTTTCGTTATAGCACTTAGTTATCAAGAATTTATATTGTTCAAAATTACCCGAATAAAGTTTCATTTTCAATTTTCCTCTTATTTTTTCATCACCTGTCGAATCTAGTACGATCTACTACAATTGCGTACTAGATTTTAGTACGAAGGATCGCTACTAAAAATCCAACGCTGGCTGAACGGACAAAACACGAACAATTATATATTTTTTTTAGATCAGCAATTATAATTGAAAGACCATTCCCTTGAATGAGCTGATTGTAAAATTATTCTGTCGAATGACTTCTCTGGCAATTGAAGCTTGTTTCACATTTTATACGAAGCTCTAATTCGACAATCTCTCATTTAGCCAAAATTACACATTCAGTTTTTCGTTTACGATAACAATACAAATAATTGTGAGATAATTCTATCAATTATGAAGATCAACTGTAGTATTGTATTTTGCAATTGATGTTTAATTTACAGATCAATCTTGTGATTAGTCTATTAAGATTGATTAATTGCTATGTTAGTTTGTCAATTAATCGAGACTCTATACAAAGTACGTATAATACACTCAGTTCCAAAAAAAGTGACGCACTTGATATTTGACCTCTTCTTAAAAAAAAAATAGTAGGCCGATTTTTTTTATTTGTTGGTAGGTAATGCATTTGTCTTTAAAAAAAATAAAGAGGTGAACATTTTTTCAAAGCCTCCTTGATGGTGGTGGAATAACTCGAACCATGATTTATTCTTAATTTTTGACTCACTCTGTGTGTTAATTGAGTAATGGTTCACAAAGTGCAACTTTTTTCCCTTGTATAATAAATATCTATTTTTCTGTGACGGGAAAAATAATTGGCATTTCATCTCTGTTGGCAGGTTATAAAATGTCACTTTTCATAAATTATTTTTTTCCCGTGGGAAAAAAGTGAGTACTTTTTGCCCGAATAAATATCACATATATACAGTGTGTCCACCTTAAGGACTTACCACCCCTGTTAAATCGTTATTATCCGACCAATTTCAAAAAACCTTTTTTTGTTGGATAGGTATTTGAAATGCCCATCCAACGAGAGAGTGATCTAATTCTTGGACTGTTATCGTGGCCAACTGCGACAAATTTCAATGACCCATATTCCAGAAAGTACTATTAGGGATTTTTTTCCACGAAACTTGATGATGGATTCTGAATCAGTACCACTTGAAATATACCTGTACCGATTTTCATCATCATAAAACACTGGGTGTCCGAAAAAACGAATCATCATTTTCTTCAAATAGATGATCAGCAAATGTAGTTCTGTGATTTTTCTAGAAAGAAATAATCACAAATTATCATTGAGGATTATTTCAAATATACCTGTACCAATTTTCGTCATTTGAATATACAATGTGTCTGAGAAAAAAATTAAAAAGGATAGGTAAGCAATATTTTTCATCCTGATAATTCTTCACTCAAAATGAAAAGATGAATCAGGATCACTTGGAACATACCTGTTCCGATTTTCATCATCTTTAAACACAGGGTGTTCGAAAAATCAGATCAATATTTTTTTTGAGTTGATGAAAAAATATTGCCAACTTTTTCTTTTTAATTGTTTTCTAATACACTTCGTATTTTTGAATGATGAAAATCGGTACAGATATGTTCAAAGTGATCCCCAATAATGATGTGTCATCAATTCTCCTCAAAAATACCACAATACTACATTTTCGGATCACCTATTAAAAAAAACACATAATGCGTTTTTTCGGACACCCTGTGTTATATGATGATGAAAATCAGTGAAGGTGTTCTTCAAGTGATCGTGATTCAGAATCCATCATTGTTTTTTGTGAAAAAAAATCCCTAATAGTACTTTCTCAAATATGGGTCAATAAAGTTAGTCGCAGTTGGCCAGAAATTTTACAGGGGTGGTAAGTCCTTAAGGTGGACACACTGTATATACACTGTTGATGGCTTTTGTTGTGCTATAGTTCCGAAAAATGAGTCAATAATATACCGTCTCCGAGAAAGAACTGCAAGTCCTTTTATCTTCCATTCGACTTTGCGGTTACGTATATTACTAAACAACCACTAAATTTGAAATTTTTTGAAATCAAATCATAGAATTAGACTGACAGAAGTGACATCAGATATTTGATTACTTCAAAAGGATGATAAAGATGCCTATAACGCAGGTGTCCCTACTGTTAAAAACTTAAAATTTCACGTCGATAATTTTCAGATTTCAAAATAGTGTAATATCTTTCCAACATTGATTCGTCCTTTCTTCTGTCACAGAAAAAAAATAGTGTATTAAACACGGAAAAAATATTAGATTTTAGCTCACGGTTTTTTGTCTCCCACCGCTACGCGTCGGGAGACAACACAACCTGGAGCTAAAATCTACTACTTTTTTCCCCATGTATAATAATCCTTCAGAATCATAATCGGAAAATTAATATGTCAATCAAGCCCTAATTGCAATCAGTATAATTCAGAGGTTGTCCTCTTCACATTCAAATATTTTGGTCAATTCCAGAGTTCCAAATGAATTCCAAGATATGTTCTTATGTGCATGACTCGAAAACTGAAAAGATCCACTATGTTTAATACAAATATGAGTTCCTCTTACTTCAGAAATAAGGATAGGCAAACAACATCAGAAAATTCATTATTGAGATGTCGAGATTTTTCTCTCGATTTATTTCAATATCCTGCCAAGTCCGGATCCGGAGCTTTAGCTGTAGCAAAACAATTCGTAACTGTCAGCGTTATCTAGATTAAACAGGAGCGTCAAATGGAATAGCTACTCTGATACTTCGCTGTTATATTTCCGGGTTGTTTTCCCTGGACTGACGATGTTATCCTTCATAAATAATCAAGTCCGAACCCACGTCAGTATAACGTCACATTCCTAGAAGTTTGATATGGTATTAGTTTTGAGAGATAATCGAAATCTACAATCAGATGGATTCTTTTCATTGTTTTCTATCAACTGGATCGCACGAAAGGAAAATCCTATTATGACCGTGGAACATCGTACTTAGGAAGGACAGGATAGGAGGTAGGTGTTGGTATTTTTTTTCAACCTTTGAAGGTTATAAGTTATATTTTCATATCATATTACATCATATTATTTATTCGATTTGAGAGAAAATGTCAATTCTCAATTTCAGAGAATTTTTATTTTTCATGCTCTTCTTTTGGGTGTTCAACAGATATAATTCAATGTTCGACGTGGCAAATAGCCAGGAAAGTAGTTGTTTTCTGTTGAATATTCAGAATGATCTTATGTGCGTAAACGTATTTGTATCTGAAGGAGAATGCAAATTCTCAACTTCAGAAGATTTTGTTTTCAAATTCTTATCGTGTGTGATCAATAGATATAATTCAATGTTCGTCGTGGCATATAGCAAAAAAAGTAGTTGTTTTCTGTTGAATAAACCGAGAAAGAATTGATATTTTCATCACATAGAGAATGCGAATTCTCAATGTATTTCTTTATATACAGGGTGGTCCGGTTTGTAATACAACAAATTCAACAGTAGGTATTGTACACTGTGTCCCATTTTGGTTGAGACTGCACTGTATCTCAGCTATTATTGAAGATAGAGGCATGCGGTTTCCGCGACCCTGTATCACTTTTTTGTAAAACTTTCAAAGCCACGTACAAAAATATTCCAACTACTTTAGTTCCTGAAAACGAAAACGGAAATGTTCACTTGAAAAAAAAATGAAAACTGCTTATGATAGATATTTTAACATAAAAGTCAGTGGCGTATTCTGATTTTTTTAAAAGCAAAAGCAAAAAAATGTTTTATTTTATCGAATCCATGAAAGCTGTCACAAACAGAGTCAATACAAATCAATAATGATGGCTGACGGTGAAAACACGGAATTTCAAAATTTGGAAAAGTATGATATTATAAAATGTTTTAATCTTTCTGACGAAAATGTCAAAGCAGCGATGCGGTTATATTTAAACAGGTAAAGAATTGGCATATTTTATTTTGTTACAAAATTCAAACAATGAATACGATCTTATTAGGTTTCCAGAAAGACGTCAGCCATCTCGGGCTACGGTATTCCGGTTAAAATCCAATCTTTCGAATTATGGTCACTGACTTTCATGTGAAAATATCTATTATAAGCAGTTTTCATTTTTTTTCATCTTATACGGGGCCTGAGAAATTATAACATCTCCAAAAGTGAACATTTTCGTTTTCGACCTGTATTTCAGAAACAAAAGTAGTTGGAATATTTCTGTTTGTGGCTTTGAAAGTTTTACAAAAAAGTGATACAGGGTCGCGAAAACCGCATGTCTCTATCTTCAATAATATCTGAGATACATTGCAGTCTCAACCAAAATGGGACACAGTGTACTCGTTGAAATAACAAAAAAAGTTCATAAAAACATATACTTTTCAACGTGTCGTTTTCGAGATATATGTATGTTGAAAATACGAGTCTGAATATTGCTTTTTTGAAAAGTTCGAAACGGTTTGAGATGAATCAACAAAATTTCTCACAGATACTAAACTTTTTACGCCCTATAACATGAAATGAAAATTATTTCATAAAGTGATTCAGTGGCGGCTGAATCTGGAGGTGGTGAAGGGAAAAATCACTCCATTTTTTGATGTGTGCATTCAGTTCATTATTTTCGAAAACAAAATGTGAAAACAGATGGATTTCTGCGTATAATAAATAGTTTTTCTACAAGCGTGCGTGATTCACCCTATAC